CACATCCTGGTTCCGCAGTCTTGGCAGCCCCGCTTCGCATTCAAGTGCCATTTCCAATCCAATACACATTATCAGATTATCATTTCAACGCACCATTGAGTACACGATAGAACAAAGAAGTAATCAGCTTTGGCGTATAATCGTTACTGTTACGGTATAATGAAATTGGTGTTTGGATGCACCGAAATGGCCGGACGGACCACAGTGATACATTCATTGCTCCGATAAAATGTTCCAGGACATGAAAGCGGCTGAATTGAACAGAATTGACGTGAATGTGGAGAAGTACATGGATCGAATCTGGGAGCTCGCGCATTCCGAAGAGTATCAGAAAATGGATAAATCGTTGTTGAAGGATGCCATTAAAAGAGACAGCAAGGAGCAGTTCAACGAGGTGACCATGCCTCCGCTGTCTGATGATCCCGACGGTCATTGTGGTTTCACAGAGTTAAAAAGCCACAAGCCGAACACTGAAAAACTAAAATTCAGGCTATATCACATTAGGCTTACCGATGCGATCATGCGCTTTTGTGCTAATCTTGCAAACCGCTAACAGCAGGAATGGTTCCTAAGTTGTAGTTTGACATTTGGACTCATACTGACTGTAGTTTGACCTTCTTCCTAACACTCGCTTCCACACACACACACACACACACACATACACATACACACACAGACGACCTCCCGACAATATGCGTTTTCGCTGGCTGTAAAGCAAAAATACACAAAAACGTCAAAATGATGAAAGTCAAAATTGTGAGATGTGGAGGTACTCAAGTAGTAATTTATGTGGTGGCAAATGTCATCAGCAGTCTACTAGCCGGCATTGCTGTCGATAATTTCCCCTTTCTGGAATAGTTTACAAGCAAGGTGATAGCAAATTTGTCGGCCTGGCATGCGCAAATAAAAATTTGCTTTTGGAACGAATAGAACTAATCGTAGATGGGCTGGTTATCCCACTGACACAACTGAGCCACCGACTAGGGAAACAATACATTGCAGCAGTACCTGACAAAGTCTTAGGTTAAGATACTAGAGTATTACAATTTAGGGATGAGACACAGACAGGACAACAGCTAATGCACGTGCAGGCTCGCTTATATGGGATTTCTAAATTGGCACTTCCTGTTTTCCTACAACTGTCAATATTCGACTGTGTCCCTCTCATCGGCGGCGTATAGTGCCAAACAAACTTTCATAGTTTGCATCCTTAAAATTTTCAAGCCATTTTCACTACGCCAGGCCTTACAAATTTGTCTTTCATGGCTAACTGCAGTATGTTGACACAGTATTTGCTGCTCATCGCAAGTACCGTCATGGATACGACATGGATGCGCCAAGCTGGGATTTTATTACGTCATTTTTCTTCACGGCTACAATGTTGACATCAATTGGATATGGCTATGTTGTTCCATCAACATTCCCCGGTCGCCTGTTCGGTGTCATCTACTGCCTTATTGGTTAGCATTTTCGGTTCAAGCCAGTGTATTCATCGCAGCATGCTTCTTCCGTCACTGTGGCCAAAGATAGCAAGATCGTTAGGTGAGTATTAGAAGGCGGTGGAATTGATACGTTTATCAGGCAGTGGCAAGTTCAGTCGAGAAGTGTAAAAATTCTGAAAAACAGTAAT